ACTGACCCCCTCGTTTCCATAACCAGGGTTTGGAGACATCCTGTAGAGGCTTCTGGATCAGCTCCGGTCTCGTGCCGCGCCCGAGCCTGGGGTTGTTCAGGCCCTGCAATGCATATCTCTCCAGTCGGCTGCACAAGGCCCCAGTTTGGTGAGCCAAAGCATCTCGCTGTTCTCCCAGCCAACAAACTTGAACACTCTGTTGCTATCTGTTGCTCAATCATGGGCCAGTGAAACCTTGGCTGCTCCAACCTAGGGATCGGGTTATTTTCGAACAGCTGTTGAACTGCCACTTGCTGATGATTTCGGTGAAGCTGAAAATGCAACTGACAATTAGGCTTATAAGGGACATTCCAGTCAGCAGAAATAGTCATATCCGCCACCAGCTCACTCGACACCAAGGCCCAGTCTAGCTCAGCCCCCGTGTTGATGGTTTCAGCTCCTGTGGCCAAAACTGTCACCTGCATTTTTCCCCCCACGGTCGTGTTCATAAACTCTCTCGGCTCAGCATTGAAATCTCCAACAATGATGACCGGTTGTCGGAGGTCAGTGACATAGGTCAACAGGCCGGACCACAGGATTGAGTTGGTCACACCTTGCAATCCTTCACCACACTTCATGTAAACAAGCGCCCAAATAACATGGAAATCATGGAAATCCCACTGAATGGCCAACCATCCGCGCCCATCAATGAACTGCTTGTGAAGCTGATGCACATGCAGGTGCATTGGAAAAAGAGCGATGACCATGCGTGCCCCCTCGTCCACTTTCAGCGGCCGGCTCTCCTAGAACCTGCCATCCTCTTGCCGTGAACCATTGAGACACTTTCTCATGATCCTGCTGCCCCAAATGAGTTTCCGCCATCAGGAAAGGAGAGCGCTTGCGAGTCAAGAGCCAAGTTCTGACCCCTTGTCCGCAATTGGCGGCATTGCCAAACGAAAATTCAACAAAATCACCCTCTCTGCGTTTGGCCGGTGGTTCAACTCCAGGGAGCTCTCTGTTCTCCAGCGGGAGTTCACATCTGACATCACCAGGTAGCAAAACTTTCGAAGGAACCGCCCAAACTTGAACGATTTGAGCTTGAAGGGATCCATGCAAAGCCACAAGTGGTTTTGGGAAAGCACCATCATCAGCAATCCAAAACAACCCCTGTAAACAAGCACTGCAAAGAAATGCCCCTGCTCATGCTCTTGTCCCACATGACACAACAAGCCAATGACCAAGTACTGCTCAGTGGTTCTCTCCACACCGTCACAAGACATGGGCAGATGAAAGGTGGAAGGGATATGCAATGGCAGGTGGTGCTTAGTCCAGTTCCCGGCTTGCACCTTCCAATTTGCCCAATCCAAAGGCCCTCTTTGAGTATAACTGGCCCTCAGCTGTGTTTGCCCAAGCATTGATGAGGACTTCCAAGCTTTGTTCACCACCCGATTCCGGATACAAGAGGTGAGTCGGGAAAGCCTTCCTTTCAGTCTGCACAAGCCTGTAGTCAACATGAAAGTATACGTATCAACAATGCTAGTGGTGCCCGCCAAGTCAACCAAAGAGGCCAGAAAGCTAGAAATCACCAGCATTAGCCACCCGAGACTGCTCTGAGCCAAGAACTGGAGAGCAAGCCATGGTATCAGATTCCCCTTGATGTCCCAACACGAAGCAAAAAGCTCGCTTGCCGTCTAACATCCCCACTTCCACAAATGAAGCTTCCCGACTTCTCTCGTGGACGTGTGACCCACACTTCCTTCTTTTTGGCCGACTCTGCAAGCTGCTTTGTAAAGGCCTTCAATGACTCCCCATTGGGAGGCCTATGCTGTGGAAAATGCCGTTCAGCTTTTCTTCCGTGAGCGCATTCTCATCAATCTCTTATTCTGCTTTCTTTTCTTTCTCAAGCTGCTGATTGTAGGTCTCCGTGTGCTTGCGAAGCTCCTGCTGGGCTTCCTCAATCTTCTGCTGCAGCTCTTTGAGTTCTGTCAACAATGCACCATATTGCTGTTTTACCGCGTCGGCCTTGGCCTGGGTTGACAACTGTTTGAGAACACCTACGGCACTCTTCAACTTTTTTTGCTGCTGTGGGCTCAGGCTTAGGAGGTTCAACAATCTTCTCCACAGCCTGCGGTAAACTCTCCAAGTTCTCCTGGAGGATGGTTGGCAAATCCGGTGGGGGAGGGTCCACCGGAGTCCACCGGGGCCAAACCCAGCTTCTGTGCCTGCTGTTGCAATCCAGCAGGCAAATCTTTCCAGTGATCACCCAAGGCTTGATGTAGATCTTGGCCAATCTTGGCCTTCGTCTTCTTCTTTCTCCCTTGTCCACCGCCTGTCAGTCCTGGGGGTGGATCCAAGAGAGCCTGCTGATAAGACTTCTTCGGCCACTGCTGGCCTTTCTTCTCATAGTTCCAAGGCGCCCACTGCGCTGGCTTCTTGTGCTTGAGATCTGTTGCAATCTCCTTTTGCCACTTTTGCCCACATTGAAGGCAGGAAAGATGAGGCCACCAAGCGATCCCTCCAGATCCAGCTCTGCCCACATGGGCATACCAATACTGCCCTCTCATGCCTTCAAGACCAGGGACAAGGATGTAATCGCCCTCCACGATCTGGCCTTAGGCTTCTTCAGTGAAAAAGGACCTCCTCCTTCTCCTCAGCCTATTGAGCGTGACCCATAGGCTTGATGCTGAAACGGCTTGAGCCACCTTGAGCCAACATATATATATATAATTATATATATACACACCATATATATATATATATTTATGCGCTGCGTTGCCTGCTTCCGAATCGCCTTTCAGCTCAAAGTAAGCTATCTTTCACCTGCGAGATGAGGGTCTCTAGCTTCTATGAAAGCTACAACTGTTCTCGTTTTCTCTCGTTTCCTCTCCTTTTACCTCCTTCCCTGCCATGCCGGACACCACAGCGAGCTTCACGACAGTCTGAGGACGCACAGGACAGTCTGAGCCCGTGTCCAGTTTAGTCCCCCAGCTCGGTCTGGGCGACGGAGCCAGAGGAACACTTGTCAGACGGATAGAACACATGTCAGACCACATATCAAGGCACACGTCAAAACATACATCAGAAAACATGTCAGAACAATTATGCCAGGTTGGTTGTTTGAGTATATGTCAGGACTACTTTCCACAAGATATGGCAGAGGAAATGCCGACTCGATGGCGCGAGAATGTCGAACAGGTGGCAGAGAGAATGTCAGACCACATTCCCTAACATTTCCCAGCCTTTATGCTAGATTTTGTGTCAGGCAGCATTTGTCAGGATATAGTCTATCAATAAAAATGCGCCCTGCCTTCTTCCAAGTCGCCTTTCAGTGTGGGGATCGCTCGAAGTAATGTATGTGTTATTTTGCTTTTGTTTCCTGTTTGTTAGTTTATTTCTGGCTTGGTTGTTCTTTGTTTGCTCGCTTGTCCTCTTGGACCAGCATGTCGAGCGGAAAAAACAAGAGAACAAGGTAGCGGTTCTGAACGCAAACAAAAACGCAAACAAACCAAACATGGAAGATACGGAGACAAGGGAGCGAGGAAAGAAGGAAAGACGAAGGAATGCAGGGCACGCAACCAAGGAAGGAAGGAAGGAAGGAAGGAGGGAGGGAGGGAGGGAGGGAAGGAAGGAAGGAAGGAAGCAGCAACGACAACTTGCCGCATCAGTCGTGAGGTGTTGCGCACCCTCCCAATCAGAGCAAACCAGCAAGCAAAACTAATTCTAATGCAACAAGAAAACACCACCCCACCAGCTTTCGTAATGTCAACCGAGCGAAACCATAGGAAGGGCTAGACTCTAGACACACCAGCAAAACTTGGCAATGGAATGTCCCAAACATTGTACAGTAATATATACTAATATTTTTGCGGAGATGGATCTCTAAGATTCTGGCCGACATGCATGAGTGTTGGGCCCTGTTGAATATCTCATTTGACAACCTGTTTTGAGTTGACAAGGTTACCTTTGATTCTTTTGTTTTTTATAATCACTGAAACAGTCAGCCCCTGAATATGTTGTAATGTTTTACATTCTGACTCTGACCACATTTTAAACCAGTATTTTAGTAAGTTACCTTAGACATTTAATTTGCTCTGAATCGGAAACATATCAGGACAGTGCACTTGAACCCTGCACAAGGTCGGGATGTCATGGTGGCAAGGTTTGTTAAGGGTTGTGATTATTAGCGCAAGTTTGAGACCCAGACGAGAACATTCCTTTCAGCAAGCTGCACGGCTCGTGTTGGAGTGGGTTGAGATTTCAACCATGCCCAGTGGATCCCGGCACGATGTATGATGATGTATGCAATTCTGCAAACCACTGATGTTTGGAAATGCACATGCATATCTATATATATCTATCTACATATTTAATATATACACGTATATTTTATATACATACATATGTATGTGTGTGTGACCATATATATATATATAAATACATATATATATATATATTATACTGTTCTATAAATAGCGGTCATTGATTCTACTGGGATTTAAGCTAATGAAACGCCGGCACCAAGTGGAGTGTGACTTGCAGTGTCGCAAATCGGAGCCACCAAGTTGCACGCATTTGGTTACGCACTGTCCCCCTTGTGAGGGCGAGTGACTGCATGTGACGCAGCCGAAAAGGGCCAAAGGGAACCGAGGGGCATCATCTTTTTGACCGGCACAGGTTTCCGTGGTCTCAGACTTAAAGTTGATCTCCAACTGGTAAGTGCTGAAGCCGCTTGAAGTGCTGCAGTGAGTTGCAACACGGACTTTCCGAACATCCTTTTGTTGCTTTGCCCTTAAGGAACTGGCGAGTTCTCCTTCGGATTCTGGTTGAACCTCGAACCCGGAGAACTTGAATTTTCAATCGTTTTGGCCTGTGTTCCTCCTCAAGGTCTTATCCCAGGGCCTTCCAACAGGCGCTCTGTGTGTATTTGATGTCACCAGGAAACACGTTTTAAAGCCTTAAAGTACAACCTGCGTGGGCTCTGATCCACGGCCATTCCGGGCCGAAGAAGACCGACGCCCGAGGCCACTGCCTTTGACACTGAAGAGCTGCCCAAGATCTTCTCGACCGCGCGGGCAGAGGACGGAAGTCTTTGCGATCCCGGGCAGATCTTTGGGGGGTTGTGGTGCTGCTGCTTGACTTTGCGTGTGGTGGTGGGGGGCCCTGGGTACAGGAGAGGTCCAGCTCGTTGTGACTTTGAGGTGGTGTTCATGAAGTAAAGATTGCAGGGTTGTGCTGCGCCCCGTGGTTTGTTCGACAGCGTTTCGAGTCACTGCTTTCGTCTTTTTTGCGGTGTGGTCCAAGCCAACGCTAAAAGTCAAACAATGAGGGCTGACATCCCTCCCTGATGATCCCTACTAGTTTGCAACCCATGTTCATGGACGGTGGTGTTTGTCAGGCACGGCAAAGGTGCCGACCCACGGCCTCTCACGTTTCTTCATGAAGGTCAACCCGAAGAAACACCCTAGCAAGTGCTTCGTGTGGGTTCTTTGCGTGTGAGGATGTGGCGGCCTTCGCTGCACAGGCATTCCCGGGCATTCCTTCCTTTGGCCGTGCAGACAGGACTAGAAGACCCCGCTATCTTTTCTGCAGAACCCCGATCCAATGCAAAAACGTTGCAGCATGACCCAGGTGGTCCCTTGCTCACGTTCCTCACAAATGAACTCGCACACCAGTCCGTCAGGGTCCAACGGTCGGCTCATCCTGGAAGGTCCTGCAACAACAACAACAGCTACTACTACTACTACTACTACTACTACTACTACTACTACTACTAC